AAATAAATACAAAATGGAGCGAACTCACCGGCGTTATCTGCGGATTTCTCGTGAATGAGTTTCGCGGTTGGGCTCACCCGTTTAAATTTTGACGGAATTGTCTTACACGGCCTCTAAATTATTCTCGCGTACCAGCAACAAAGCAAAAGGCAATATTTGATCGTGCAAACTAAGTGATATATTTTGGGACCAAAACAAGCCGTTAGACGAACGCTTAGCTGGCTAGTGATCGTGCACGTGACACGACGGAGTACCAAATGGCGGGGATGCTTGACCGGAAGCCTTCAGCTAAACAAGTCGACTTAAACAGTGGTGGTCAGCATCCACTGAGTGATTGCTGTGGTCAATAATTTTGGGGAATTATTTACCGCTACAGATCCATTTCGTGCCTGTTTCATCGTTGCCCGCTGTCTACCGCGGTCAATCTACTGCAATCAGGAAAATCACCGGCGACTTTAGGCAGTCTTGTCTTACTCCCACTGTCAATGCAGTTGAAGATTGAACGATCAATTCATGGTAGTTTGCTCAAAACCAACTTCCTCAATTTTCGCGGAGGCATCAATACGACAGTCATCGTCTCATCGGTCGCTGTTCAGAAAGAAGTCAGGAGACAACTGTCAGAAGTAATATTGTGATTCATTATTGTAATATTTGTTTACAGACCTTAGTCATACTTGCTTTATATGTTGGTGTAACAATAAAGAATTCTCGAGTGGCCAATCGGTGTTTTGGTTTTTGCGTCCTTTATTACTAAGCGTTTCTGAGAAACTTCGAGGAACAGGGTGAGCCCGAGCGTAGCAAGAGCTGGGCATTAACGGTTTACGAGACGTGGCCGACACCCGCCTTCACTTCGAAGGATTCCGTAAGTTTCCCGTTGTGAGTTACTTGGCATGCAACATTGTCGTACAGCTGTCGGATGAGATGTATAATAATAAAAGCTTTATTCCGAAAACAGTACCAATGATACAGCAAGGAATTTTCAGCATTCAGTACAATACTGCATCTAATTTACTCAAAAACGACAAAAAATTATAAATACACATTACATAATAATAATGAAACGATTGTTACAGCAGCTACATAGCAAAATAATGCATGCAATACGGAGAAAAATATGCATAAAGTATAAAATTATAGTAATAATAGTAATACCAACTAAAATAAAATAGCAGATTAATAATTAAACGACAGAAATTGTGACGCCGTAAAATACAGAAAGATGAACAATGAAAGGGTCGATTTACTATGCTAATTACATAGCAACTTATGTGTTTCACGTCTAACAGAGTCTTCGTCACATAAAGTACGGGCTAAATAGGGTATTGTAGAATTTCTGTACTTAGTGGTACGAGCATATAACTTTTTATATTGACTTCTCTTCCTACCTGATGAGATGCAACGGGATAGGTGTGAATAAAGGGGGTGCAGAGGATCTGACAGTATAGCCTTTGCCCATTTCGTACAGGAATTTATATGCTTCTCGACTATAGTGTTGGCGAGCTCATTCAGTGGCAGACCACAAGCTTTAATCACAGGATTTAATACTCTTCGTAATATGATATAATCTTTTTTGAGAAGCCCAGGAAAGATTAATGGAGAGCAATAGAGTACAATAGGTAAAATACAGGAGTTTAAAATTTTGCAAAACTAAAGTTTGGTTGATACCTGGTTGTCTTAACTTTTTAATGTAGAAGGTAAGACGAAACATTTTCTTAGAGATAGATAAGATGTGGGATGACCATGAAAGGTCAGAGGAAAGAACTAATCCAAGGAATTTAATGCTTGACTTGGTTTCAATTTCCGTGCTATCTATGCTACAGGCATCATGCGAACTAACTAGTTCATGTAAGTCACGTCGATGCTTGAAAGTAAAGTCAACTGCCTGACATTTGGAAGGATTTAACATAAGACCATTACTGGCGCCACCCCGCAGAAGCGAAGTGGTTTCCAAATCCCCTCTCGATCGACGCCGTCAAACGCCTTTTCAAAGGCGATGAAGTTGGGATTGAGAGATGACCGCCATTCCAAGCTCTGTTCAGTGATGATCCGTAGTGTAGCGGTTTGATCAATACATGATTTGTTTCTCCTGAATCCAGCTTGTTCCGGTCGGAGTTTTTCATCCAGAGTGGCTCGTTTGATTCTCGCCAGGATGATGCGGCTTAGTATTTTGCTTGGAATGGATAGGAGCATAATTCCGCGCCAGTTTTCGCATTGACTTAGGTCTCCTTTCTTTGGCAGTTTGAATAAGTATCCTTTCTTCCAATCCTCGGGTACTTTGACCTCTTTCCACACCTTCTCCAGCAATGGCGGCATCAAGTCTGCTGTTGTCTCTGGGTCCATTATCAATATTTCTGCTGAGATTCCATCTGATCCCGCTGCTTTTCCAGCTTTGAGCATCTTCATTGCATTCATGACTTCTGATTTCGTCGGGAGGTCGATGTTCACTGGTAGTTCTGTTGATATTATTGGGCATGTTGTAGGTGGCGGTCGTTTTAGAAGTCTTGAAGTCTATAGCCCGGTGTTTCCTCTGCTCAGCCTCTTTGGTGATTGACTTTACATTGTCATCCTTCACTGGCTTAACTTGTGTTCACTTCTTTCCCAACGGGAACCCAGTCGTCTGGTGGAGCGTTGTGAGGTCTCGTTTGCCTGCAGCTTGCTCTGCTTCACTTGCCATAGCTTCACAATATTGTCCTTTGTTTTCCCTAGCACTTTATTTTACTATTTTGTTCAGTGTATTGTAGCTTGGATTCAACTCCTATTTTTGTTGCTCGTCGGTGCACTGGAGAGCCACTTGTTTCACCACCCTTCTCGCTCCTAATATTCTCTGTATGTCTGTAGTGACATACCGCTTTTCATGTCTCTTCTTCCTGCCTAGGAATTCCATGAGACTTTCACTCCACAACGATTTCAGGCTGTTCCAGTGTTTTCCAACACTGGTCTCTTCACCAGTGTTGATTTGTGTATCCGCCTTTTTCCTTATAATTACAGTGAGGATATCTTTTGTGGCCTGATCCTTCAGTTTTTGAGTATTGAACTTGGCTTGTACAAAAACTGAGAATATATTATTGTTATGATAACATCCTTCTGCCTTTTATTAGTCTCCACATATCCGTAGTGAGCCACTGTTTTTCCTCTCTCTTCTTTCTGCCTAGAACTTCCATGCAGAACTTTTCAACTCTGGTCTCTTCGATAGTGTTGATTTGTGTCTCCCTCTTTTCCTAATGGCTGCAATGCAGCGAATGTAGTGCTTAAATCGAAAACGTGTCCAGGTCGCTTTTTGAACCTATTGCCTCTTATATTCAATAAATTGTGCAGATATTAGTGTCAAGCCAGATTTTCCGATGAAATAACCGCAAATGTAACGCAATTCAAGAAAATAATATCATCGAAAGTATGCATCGCATGAAACATTTTTAATGTAAAATTTCATTTGAAAAGCATGAAAAAATATAACTTGTGATTAAACCACTATTGCGACGGACTACGCTGCTACATTTGGTGGGGAAATGCAATGTAGCCACTCGATACTCCATACAGGTGGTGTTTGGTATCTAAACTCTTCTACTTTCATATTTAGGCATGAAGTATGTGTCAGTATAATTATATTAATATATATTTTCCTCCACTACGAAGTAAAATGCCATACTTATGGTGTTTGCAGGCACCGCCAGCCATTCAAAACTAACCTCTCTACTTGATTACACACGCGGTTATGGGATGATTTCCCAAACTAGGGCCATCCAGAAGAGCCTTCAGAGTTTAACCCCTTTTGTGTTTATCGAGTAATAGAAGCCGTTGTCACCAGGTTCCTAACAAACTTTTAGCCAAAATGCCTAAGATTTACGGCTCATAGATCATCCTGCCTGGGTATATAAGGTGCAGTTTGTATGAAACTTAACAGCGAGCTTAGTGATGGCGCAAAATACTAGAATAAAATCCAAGTTAATGAAAGAATATTGAAGCAGTATATTATAAGAAATACAGTTAACGAATTACGAAAATTAATTGTTACTTGATGATGTAGTTAAAGTCCGCTGCTATTAATATATATAATCCACAGAAGTGTTCACTACTGCGGTCGTGTCTACTGTTAGAAACTGTGCACCATTAGTAGAATAGTCCTCGGATGAGGAGGGGAGGTTTCGGGAAATTCCAGAGGGTTCAACACGAGTGGAAAGTATGGGCCATTGAGAAGACAAGGCGCCGAGCAGCCAATCGTATTTTTTAATTCATTTCATAGTTATGAAAATTTCACAATGAACCGTTTTAAGCAAAAGTTATGTGGAATGTTTTCATTCGTAAGGTCTTACCGAAAACCATACAATCATATTGCCCCATAATCCACACATTTAATAATTAACTAGCTTCGATTAACTAGATATTGTGGGGTCTGAGAATGGACTTCTCGTCTAAAAAACTGCCTTTCCCACTTCTCTACTTGCAACGTTTGTCCGCATGCATAAGTTTTCATTAACTTAACCAACAAATGCGTGCTGACAGCTTAAACTTGGGTGTTAAATATGCGCTAATATCATAAAACTTGTATGACCGCCAAAAGACTGATTCTTTGTAGCTGACAGGTGTACATTACAACTGCGTTGTATTTCGTTCAGATAAGTCCTTCGGGTTGTACACAGGTGAAGAGAAATGATAAAATATAATGGTCACACATTATTCAGATTTATATTCTTGCCCTTATTAAGTTTGTGATAAGAATATGTGTGGATCCCCAACGCTACTAACCTTCCCTCAATGAAGTTGCCCCATTTGGCGCAGGGGACGGTCCCACCAACAGTTTATTTACGTGCATATATAGGAATAAATATATATGTTATTATTAGTAGAAATCCTCCATGATCATGGGTGGGGAACATTAAGTTTTTGATCCTAATGGTTTGGATTCCTGGTAAGTCACCGTATTATTATTGGACATGCTTATGTCACAGGTAAGACTGTCTACAGACACTGAAAACTGAAACATTTAGTCCTGTTTTCACTGTGGTTATTGGCCATTGGTAACCAATTCAATCCCAGTAAGCCTAACCAGTACATTTGCAGTGTTATGAAAATATTGATACCTTTTGAGTTTTTGAATAATATGGAGTAATGATCTACCGAAGGAATGCTATGATGTCGAAATGATTGTTTGTTTAAGGTTTTATTGATAAACGTGCGCCGTTCAGAGCTGGCGACACTTTGTGATGTTGAGGTGAGTTTTCCTGGCGATATTTGCGTATTTTCCACTTTTTCTTAAAGATATATTTTTAAGATAGTGTAATGTGTTTTCTAAACTGTTGAGGTATAATAATTTCCATATACTAGTACACATAGGGAGCACTACTGAGAGTACATATCACAATACTGAGATCGATCTGTGAGATCTCACAACGTTGTGAGATTTATTACAGGGTTCATTCATTGGGAACTACAAAACAACCTTTATAATAATGAAAATACAGGGTTGAGTTCAAAATATCATCTGTTTAACTTTTTGGTTGGAAAATAACGGTATGCCAGTACTTTTTGTTATCCGAGTAATGTTTTGCCAAGATCATTTTCTCCACTGACACAGATCACTGTCCCCCGATCTTCCAGTAATTCTAAACTATATTTGAATTGTGTTGATGATGCTGTTTTATAATGAGTGAGTACTTTTCGTGCCCCAAAGGAACTTTGTGTGTCCTGAATTAATGATACTAGTGCTTAAAAATAGTGTCGGGTGTGATCTCTGCTGAAATAATGCCGAATGGGAAGGATTAACACAGGTCATAAGAGCCTTCTATCCGTATCATCGGAATCTCAGTGGGGTGTGAGGGAGCTCAAATAATTCAGGTTCGTATTAACTGCCGACAATGCCAAAAGCACAGTACTGAGTCAGAGATAGCCATATTGAGTGAAACCATATCAGGATTTACTCACCATAGAAAGTAAGCCTTAGTTCAGAAGTTGAGAGCTTTACTTCAGGATTGTTTTAAGCTTGAATCTTTGCAGTGACAATCGTATATGGTGTATAGTTCAGACTATCATATGTTTAGAGCAGGATAAAATACTTCATGCTCTTGTTAATCATCTTCCAATAAGTATGTGTGCTTGTCTAATCACCTTTTGGATAAGTCGATTGAGAGCGCGGATACCACACCTAGCAGTCGGTCCCAGTATTTAACGTCAAGGGAGAACCAGTATTTCTTAGCCATTTCTTCCCAGTATTTGAAATCTGCCACCACGTTCTTCAAAATTTTTCGGTACCGTGGAAAGACAAAGTCAGAAACGGTCAGATCCATAAACATATCTTGTAGTTTTGAACATTGTAATGAGATCTCTGGCTACGGTATGAAAAGAGATTTCAGTTGCTGACCCTATGCACATGTGATACATTAGTCATATCAGAATATATGAGTCTTTTGAAACAGTGGTTAGTGGCAGTATTTCAAGTTTTGACCTAACGGGAGGTGTATATAAAGTGGACATTTCACTGTAGATCCTAGTAAAGGCTCTGCTTATTGCCATGGGGATCTAAAACTGCGAGATTCCGTCGCGCGACAGTGGTTTAGTTTTTAGACCATGATGTAGTATGACACCTAGATCCATGTGCCTCTGAGTTGATATGAACGGTATTCTCACTCTGTTGTATTTACTGTGCGTGTAGATGCGCACTTCGTTAGGGTGATTGAAAATGTCCATTCTATGGACCAATCTAAGGATCTGTCGAGGTCCTCTTGTGATGCCTGGCGCTGTCATCTCAAATGTCTCCAAATTTTAGGTCATATCTGTAGAAAACCAGGGCAGACTTGGTGAAGCCAGGTGATTCGTTGACATACAGAATGAATAGGATCCTAAGTGCAGGACCTAGTAGCACACTATTACTTACCGTCGTCTAGTAAGAGAGATTCAAGTTAACTCCGATGCTGTCTTCTACATCCATGGAATTCCTTGATTCAGTTGTACAGATCTCGTGATTCAAAAGCTTTCCGATTTCATAACCATTCTTGTATGAGGTGTTTTATTGAAGTCTTTGCTGAATTTTGTGTAAGCACCGGAAATTATAATGTATTATAAGCTGCTTTCCGAATATGCTTTCTTGATTTTTCCTTTCAGCATCTTGATCAAGGTGCTGGTAAGACTGATAGGCATGCAGTTGAAAGAAAAGTACCTAGATCCTCCCTTATATATGGGGGCTTCTGTCGCATCCTTCCGGTTGCACCCATGACACTCTGTTTGAAAGGTATAGCCTGAAGATAGTACTCTCTGGGTCAGCTATGTAAGCTACCAGCCATTTTAGAAAACTCGATGGGAATTCACTGCGTTCATTAATTTATCTGTCTGTTCTGCTTAGCGATGACAGTACAATGTTTGGGTTAGTTTTGACCCAACCTGAGCCGTTTTCTTCTAGCACAGCCGGTGCCGAAGCTACGGGTGGTGTCTGCTCTTCTAAAACACTGTAGAGAAGTGGTCTCTTATTGCTTCCACACTTTTCTGATCCGATTCAGTTGTGCCAGTATTCAGGTTGGGGATTCTATTGAACATCGTGCTCTTAAGATTTAAGTACTTTGGGTTGTACCGTTGCATTTTGAGCTAAATACTTTCCGAATTTCATCTGTTGTATATAAATTCCATCAATAGCCTCGTTTCCAGTTGCACTGCACAGCTTCGCTGCCTGTTAAGTGCGAAAGCTGATAAATGCGTTCCGGCAGTTGTGTTTACACCACAGTAGTCCATGAATATCCCAGGTGTTCTAGAAACCATTTATTAACTATTTAGCAACATCCGATTTTAATCTGCTGTACTAAAGAAAATGTGACGACCTTGATGTTCGGCTGGGAGAAGTCCATGAAGAGTAGTTATAAGAAGATGAAGTTACTTTCATAGACTCCGTTGATTTCTTTCTGGCAATAGGCAGAGTAACATGTTAAACAATAATTCAACCAACCGTACAATGTTTGGTAGGTAGTGTAAGTCGGCGGTTGAAACGGAAAGCTCAATCTATTTAGTTGATTTAGATTTGTGCTATGCACACCGAACCATCACATTTCTCAATAAGCAGTTTCGACTTACGTAAAAGTAAATCTAGGAGAGTTAGTGGCAGCCGAACCTACACATGGCGTCACTCCATGAAGTCATCCACCGTCAGTCTGAGACGCAGAGATGTCATTGAAAAAAGCAACGCCAACAGTGGTTTGTGCAGAATAATATGGTACCATCATTTATTTCGTTGGCTTCTCGTCATCTGCTTACAGCCTAAATAAATTATGAGGTGTAAGTACAGAAAAGTTTTAACATACTTGCAAATTTTACATGTTGTCAGTTGGCAGAAAGTTCCACAACTGGTAAACAGTGCTCAGAAAATTGCGCTTATATAGTTTTTACACAGGCAGTTCAGGCTTAAGCAAAGTAAATGTATGCGTATAATGGTAAAGGAGTTACTAATAGAAATGAGATGTCCGTTAGATGCAGAGTGACTAATAAGTTAGGTAACAATGTACTGAGTTGAACTCAAATCATAGAAACAAGAGACAAGCAAAATTACAGATTATAAAAGGAGGGTGAGGTTAACGACAAAGATTACGTAATCAGGTGCGAGAATAAAGATATCCAGTTACCAGGGCAAGGAAAGACTAATAACTGCTTCTTTCTGAACACATAAATCTGGTTTCAATCGTTTGATAGAAATTGCTTCGGCAAACTTGAGGAGAATGGAGCTCCTTTGTCTATTGATAATTTTGAAGGATTCTCGATTTCCACCTCATGACCCGTGTCGAGGAGATGTCTGGTAATAGCGCTACTATAAGAGTTTTTTCCCTTGATACGTAGGCTTTTTGGCACATGTTCAGAAAATCGGAGGTGTGCTCTTCTTTCTGTTCTCCCAATGTAACTGCTCCCGCACATACACGTCGCCATGCAACGCCTCGAAGATGGCAGTCTCCAGAGGTCAATCTACCGAAACCCCACATGGAATGGACAATACTTACACTTTAATAGTTTTTGTCCAAATAGCTATAAACGAGCACTAGTCAAGACTCTGTACTATAGAGCGAGGCGAATATGCTCTGCAGAGAAACTAGAGGAAGAATTTACGATTCTCGAAAAGGTGCTGAAAAACAACGGTTATCCTCAAAGATTCATTAACAAATATGGAAGATGTGAAGGCTCAAATACCACACAAATCACAGTTGAAAAAAGCCTGTCTTCATTCATCTAGATTTTAAAGGTGAAAATATTGCAGAAATGGTCAACAGAAGACTGAGAACGTCACTAGTCAGAGCCTATCCTGCAGCTAACTTGGCTCCCGTCCATCGAACAACATGCTCTTTGGTGCAGTCGATAAATACCCTTCTCATGTTAACTCCAACTGTGTATACAAATTTACGTGTATGTGCGGGAGCAGTTACATTGGGAGAACAGAAAGAAGAGCACACCTCCGATTTTCTGAACATGTGCCAAAAAGCCTACGTATCAAGGGAAAAAACTCTTATAGTAGCGCTATTACCAGACATCTCCTCGACACGGGTCATGAGGTGGAAATCGAGAATCCTTCAAAATTATCAATAGACAAAGGAGCTCCATTCTCCTCAAGTTTGCCGAAGCAATTTCTATCAAACGATTGAAACCAGATTTATGTGTTCAGAAAGAAGCAGTTATTAGTCTTTCCTTGCCCTGGTAACTGGATATCTTTATTCTCGCACCTGATTACGTAATCTTTGTCTTTAACCTCACCCTCCTTTTATAATCTGTAATTTTGCTTGTCTCTTGTTTCTATGATTTGAGTTCAACTCAGTACATTGTTACCTAACTTATTAGTCACTCTGCATCTAACGGACATCTCATTTCGATTAGTAACTCCTTTACCATTATACGCATACATTTACTTTGCTTAAGCTTGAACTGCCTGTGTAAAAACTATATAAGCGCAATTTTCTGAGCACTGTTTACCAGTTGTGGAACTTTCTGCCAACTGACAACATGTAAAATTTGCAAGTATGTTAAAACTTTTCTGTACTTAACCTCATAATTTATTTAGGCTGTAAGCAGATGATGAGAAGCCAACGAAATAAATGATGGTACCATATTATTCTGCACAAACCACTGTTGGCGTTGCTTTTTTCAAATTCATCAAGCGTAATCAATGCATGGAGAGATGTCAATTGATATCACTAATGAAAGATGTAGGGTCCAGATATATAGAGGACACTCCTTCGCAGGTGAAGTGTTAGG